AAATGGACTAAAATGAGTTGTTTAAAAAAAGAAGAACCAAGTTTAATACTGTTATTAAAAAAAAATGAAAATATAAGAAACGTGTAAACCCATGGATCCGCGTCCAATACAAAAATAGCTTCAATACTTTAATTTAAACGCTAAAATTAAGAGTTATTTAGGAAAGAAAAGAAAATGAAATTTGACCAAGTAATTATTTAGTCTGAATGCTAGGATGTTTGAATTATTTGAAAAAAAAAAAAAGAAAAAGGAATGGGGGGATGAGTAAGTTCGGAGCAATTTCTTTAGAGTGGACCCGGACAATGACGCATCTTTAATGACTTGCGTTCACATTACGTGTCAAACTTTGATTCGCTCGGGTACGACATTTCCCTTCCACTTTTCCAACTTGGTGAATGGCAGAGTTGTTATTTTGATGAACCGACGGGGTAGAAATGGCATGAGAAAGGCACAAAACGCGTTTTTTATTTTGTTAATAGAAAAAGGAAAAGAAAAAGGAAAGGAAAGCTGCCCTTCATTGCCCTTCATTGCCCTTGCCCTCCTATTAGACTTACTGTCGTCTTCTTCGTTCTCCCCTAAAGTAAATCGCACTCTCGTCTCTCTTCTTCTGCTTTCATCTCTCACTTTTTGACTCTTTATTAAAACAAACAAACAAACAGAGAGAATCTCTCCGGCCGATTACTTCTTCTTCTTCCTCCCTTCCCTGTTTCTTCTTTATCATCTTCTTTCCCTGCGCTTTCACCGACGATGGCGGTTTTAACCCTCAGTTCCCTCCCCCTGGGCTTCCGATTTAGACCCACCGATGAAGAACTCATCAACTTCTACCTCCGCTCCAAGATCAATGGAAATCACGAAGAAGTCAGCGTTATTCGCGAAATCGATGTCTGTAAATGGGAGCCCTGGGATCTTCCTGGTACGCTCTCTCTTTGCTTCCCCAGTTTTTCCTTTATTCCTCTTCTTATTTATTTTCTTTTTCCGCCCTATGTTTCGACCTATCTCTGTCTAGCTGCTCTTTACGGACATCTCGAGTATCATTTGATTTTATTCCATTTCCGCTCCTCTCTGATTCTTTCCTTTTAGTTTCTACTTATTCCTTCTTTCTTCAATCAATTCCATCTGCGTATCGCTTCACCCGACTCCACGATTTCCTCTTACTAATCACCTATCACGATCCACCTTCGAGCTTCGATTTTTCTAACAACTGTTTTTTTCCGCCTATTTTGATCGGTGCAGATCTATCGATAATAAAGACAAAAGATCCCGAGTGGTTCTTCTTTTGTCCACAGGACAGGAAGTATCCCAACGGGCACCGTTTGAAGAGAGCTACCGATGCTGGCTACTGGAAGGCAACGGGTAAGGATCGCAAAATCAAGTCCGGAACAAACTTGATTGGAATGAAGAAGACATTGGTATTCTACAAAGGTCGTGCTCCTAAGGGAAAGAGAACCAATTGGGTAGTCCATGAGTATCGTGCCACTCTTAAGGAACTTGATGGCACTAACCCTGGACAGGTCTTATTCTCTTCTAATTCCTCCGTTTGGCTACTGGGCTGAATTCATGCTACAGTTCTGTGGATCCATATACAGTTGCTTGATTTGATTTCTCTTTTTCTTTCGTGCATTCAAAACTGGGATGGATGACTTTTAAGACCTACAAAATGCTACTTAATAGTATTTAAAACTTCACTCTATCACTGCATCATGATTTTCTTCTATTTTATTCTCTGCGCCATCTTATGTTTATGCTGAAAATTCTAAGCGAGAAATATGTGGATATAGTATCTAATTCGTAACTCGAGTATAGACTTCAAGACTCCTTTGAGAGGTCTTGTTCTGCATAACTAAATTTTTTCTTTACACTTGGTAATTCGAAATGATCGGTTTTTAGGTGAAATCTATTTCCTGAATCTTTGAATGCCTTTGTTTCAATTCTAATTAGAATGTTGTTTGGTTGTTGGTTTCAGAGTGCCTTTGTTCTCTGTCGTCTGTTTAAGAAACAGGATGAAAGTATTGAAGGGTCAAATGGCGATGAAGCCGAAGCTGCTATTTCATCCCCTACCACAGCTGACTCATCTCCTGGACCTGGAGACTCCCATTCAGAGCCAATACTTCCTTTAGTTTCTCCATCATTGCCGGGGCGGGCTGATAGTTCTGATGAAGTGGCATCCGAAACAGTCGAACATCCTGATGGTTCAGCTGAAATCTCTTGTTTTGATTCATATAATGCAGAAGTGAGAGGCTCCCTTTTCCTTTTCATTTTTATTACAAGAAAATTCAGCATAATCTGAATTGTATGCATCTATGTCTATTTCTCATTGCAGATGGATCCTCATCCATATGAAAAGAAGAATTACTGTGTTTCATTGGATGAACCACTTGATAGCAAACTGTTTTCCCCCTTGCGCTCGCAGCTGCAAGCAGAGCTAGGATCATCTGGCATATACTATTCCGATAGCAATTACTTGAACTTCGACGCCAATGCAAATGCAGTGCAGCAGTTACAGAGTGGGACAGAGGAGTCAGATTATATCTATCAGTTTATAGACTCTTTCGACTGTAATTTGGATGATTTTGCTCTTGAAGACTTCCAGATTCCGAATAATACAATGGGTAGCTTGGACTACCGATTTTATGGCGAAGTGGAGGCTGAAAATTCTAAAAAATCAAAGGTTTGTGGGACTTTTCCTGCGAGTTTTTCTTTTTTAAAGATAATCTTACATTTTTACCCGGTGGTTTCTGTTTCTGCTTTGAATTAGTTTCGTTGTATTACTAATTTCTGGTCTCGAAGCAGGTTATGTCAGAGTTGGAAAGCTCAATTTGTCTGGAGGATATAGACAGGAAGATTCCTATTATTGAACATACGGAAACTGCACCAACAGAACAAGGTGCTGCTGCCTCTCTCTTCTCACAATAATGTACTCAACGCGCCCATGACATATCTTGTTAAAATAATCTTGCTAATTGTTCTTGGCAGGTCAATTTTTTAATCCATCTGGGAGCCTTCCGGAATCATGCAATCAATTGTCTGCAGCAGTAAGTACCGATGCTACAGCTGGAATTCAGAGAATTAGTCGCCGGCAAAGAAGTCAGCAGCAACACAATGAGTTTTCTGCATCTCAGGGGACTGCGCCAAGAAGGCTACGATTGCAAAGGATACTTGCAGCGCCATCCTCACGCTCTAGCAAAATGTGTAGTGCGAGTGGTGGAAGGCGGGATGATGACCCCCCATCAATCTCTAGCAAGGTAAGCGCCCTATATAGAGTTAGTTTCAAGTGTATGGAACCAATACTATATATATCATGGTGTAAAGTTATAAACGGGTGGTATTGACATGACACACAGGAGAAAAAAGCTTCAGAAAACAAGAGTATTGGAGGGGTATGTGGGAGTGATGATGGTTTTGATGATGTAAAACAGCCCCAGATGAGGACTGAGGCTGCTGAGTCAGGGGTGAGCAGTGGTAAAGCCTCCCAGGAAGCGAGTTCAAAGTCAGTGGCAAGCTATAGCTCAAAGATTGGTTTCGTAACTGGGAAAAGAAGATTGGCGAAGGCACTGCCACCTTCAGTTCTTTCATACGTTTCTATAGTTAGGCTTGTTGTTGTAGTATTGTCCATAATTTTTATTAGCATTTGGAAGTGGTGTAAGCGCGACCAGCGTGGGTACCCTGTCTCACCCTTCCGTTAAGCCTTCATAGGTTTTTATGGCCTTCCCTTCATGGGGGTAGCAGCTTAGGATTGTGAGAGGCATGTATGTGGTCAATGTGGATATTTAGTTTGGGCCTAATGTATGTTTTTATGCACCGTCCTCAGGACTCGGAGTCCCGTGTTTTTGTATAAAACAGCATCATCACTCTTCTCCACTCTCTTTTCTTTAAGGTTGTTTTATGTGTAAATTTAGCTGCCTGCTTTTATTCTGAAGATCATTGCTTTAATAATAACATTTATTTATTTAAATAACCCCATTTGATGGAATCACAATCTTATATGTCATTGCCAACTTGAAGCCTGGATATGTAGTAAAAAAAAAAACAAATCCAATCAATTTGAATGGTATCTTGGTGGTACAATTTGATCTTCATCACTTTCCTTCCTTGCATCATCAATTATAGAAGAAGTCTTGTTGCTTGGATGGGAAGGAAGAGGAATATGAATGAAAGAACTATAATTTATTCAACTTTTTCACTAAAGGGAGAAAAATATGTATTTTATGTGCATGGACGGCGGATTGTTTCATTTAATTAGGATGTTGAGCGTGTGGAGTAAGAATTGGGAGGGCTCGGGGCTCAAACATCCAAAAATGTCCCATGCTGACTCACTTCCACGTCTTATCCTCCTTAATAAGCTAAAAGGCAGGTTGCCCTATTAGCTTTTCTCGTTTTTTTTTTTTTTTTTCAACTTAAAATTATCAAAGCAGTTTTTGACTGCATTGAAGAATATTATCTATTATCTTCAGTGCAGTGAGTTGGGATACTTAAATTTTATGAACTTGGTTTGTGGGAAAAGGAAAAGGAAAAACTGATGGATCGTGAAATTTTGGTTGCGTTGGTGTGGCGTGGCGTGGCATAGAGAAAGAGAATGAGTTATTAGAAAGAGAGGGGTGAAAAGGCATGTGAGATCCACTTTTGAGAAAATATGTATTGGGGGGGG